GAGGAAATCTGAGATGGACTTAGTACATCCTATTCAGGGTTGGGAGAGGTGGGGAGGGAAGTAGCAATTCTCTGGTTAACTTAGGCTTCAGGAAACCATCAGAAGCCCCTAGTTGGCTTGAGTGAGAAGCTAAACTTATTTCTGTTCTGTACATATACACATGGAAGATCAATAAAAATGCAATCTTTCATCATGTAGGTCAGGAACCTTTCACTTTGTCCACACAGCATCAAGACAGATTTTGTTTTCCCAGGTGAGAAGAGAGTTTATTAGGATAAATGCACTGTGGTTCAATGTTACCCATGGTCATCAAATGATTTCAGCAATGGAGAAATGTTAAGGTTGTCAATCTAGATCTATTTAAACCATCAACACAGTTTGATGGCTAAATGATTCTTTGGTGCATATTAAAACATTGACATTACATCCCTACCCTACTGTAAGTGAGATCATGTATCCTTTGGATAAATACGGATTTCTGTTTTTACACCAAGTTTAACATTGTAAATGGAACTGCTTTTGCTTCTGTTTCTATTTCATAAATTGACCATCATTTACTGGAGTTAATATTTAGCATCTTTGCTAAGTGAAAATGCTTCTTTAGTTTGAAAACTTTGATTTCAACCTCCCTGAATAGACAGGGCACCACTCTACCCATAATAACATTTTGTAACTGCTGTTTACAACTGTGTTTCTTTCTCTAGGAGCTGGAATCCATTGAAAATTCAGACATCACTTGTGAAAGTACCTTTCTTTCTATGGTGTTTACCACTCCAACATGTGAAGGTAAACAAACAGGATAAGTTCTGGTGGAGAAAATGACACAGTGAGCTCTTCTTTGGGCTGAAAGAAACAGAACTGTTGTAATTCCATGTAACAAGGTGGTCCTACCACATGGTTATGACATATTTTGCATATTATTTTTATGTCAACACCAAAGGTGCAACAAGTAAAAGTGATTGGACTAAATTGAGTAGCTGCATGTAATTCAGGGACGTTAACTTGACAACTGTATTCAGTTTCAAAACTGGTAAAGTCAGGGCCTGAAATTGCGACTCACTGGTTGCCAATGCGACCAAAAATTGAGCACTGGCGACTTAATTTTCAGAGCTGGTCGCCAGCTGGCGACTCACGTTTTGTCCGAGAACTAAAGCAAACCACGACACAACTTTTGTTTTTAAATCTTTTTATTAGGAAATCAATCGGATATGGTAGCTAGTATACAACTCACCTTTCCGTCCCCAGTAAAATAATGTCTGAATATTACAAGATAATCTAAAAAATTGAACGTATTTCGACATGTTGATACTGCGTTCACGGCATGCCATATTGTTTCAGCGGCTCCTTCCGAAACTGGGATAGCAGGTGCACTTCAACACCATGTACTTTTCATTTGCCGCGAAAATGGCGGCAGATNTTCAAAATAACGGCTAGAAGCTATGCAACAACAATAACAACAATTCTGGATTCTGTACTTCACTTTTCTTTTGGGCAAATGAAGTCTCTCGGGAAAATTTCACAGGAAATTTAAATTTCAAAATTACTGTAAGATGGGGCTAGCGATAATGACTTTCAGACCAGTGCATCATAGTTACAGCTTGCCCTGAAGCCTGAAAAATTTAATTGTTTTTTTTGTTTGCACACTGGTTACTTTGATGTACATTTTTCTGGTCTTTGTGAACAGGAGATTGCAACTTAGTGATTTTGTCTGCTTCTGGTGTGGTCACTGAGTTTTCTAACCTGTACTTGGGAAAGTTGAATGACGGTAAGTGCTGTAACTTGCCTTGTCTGCAGATGTATGTTTTTAAAAGAGGTTTTAACTTTGCAGCATTGCATAAGCAATGGTTGCTAAGTTTGTCAGTATGCATTGACATGTCAATATTTGGATAGAAACACCATGTTGGATCATTAAAGCAGCATGTTAGCTTGCTTGTATTTATTTAATTGTAAACAAGTACACTTAGTCAGGGCTCGAAATTAACTTTTTCGTCCAGGAGCCAGCTGGCGAATAACGGAGAAATTTTGGTCACCAGATCGTAAAGTTTGGTCACCAACTTTTTTTATATATAACTTACACAAGAACACGATTTTATACGTTACTTTGCATGCAAGAAAAGTCACAATTGAAGAGCAAAAACAATTAGAAACAACACAAGTAACACTTGGTTATAAAGCTACCGTTGTTCTCAGATGATATGTCTCTGGTCCGAAGGTAATGGTTGTCTCCATAGTCATTTTAAATGAAGCGAAGCATAAAACATTTTAAGTCCATGGCTTTCATTGTGAGACAAACACGGGTCATTGCGTATTTTCCCTTTGCACGTCTTTGAAATGCCATTCTTTATTTTCGACTTGCTTTCCTCAACGCCTTTCAACAACTGATAAAGGATTCAAAGTTTGGATCAGCCTTTTGGCTGAATCTTCATTCCGCGCACATAAAAACTCATGTGATGCCTGCAATCCAAGTTTTGGAAGAAGCCGCTGAAACAATATGGCGCGCCGTGAGCGCAGTATTGACATGTTGAAATACGTTCAATTTTTTCGATTATCTTGTAATATTCAGACATTATGTTACTNGACAAACACTATTCACTTGACTCTGAAGATGACTTTCGCTCAGGTTATCGAAACGTCAGTCACCAACATCAGTTCTTTTCAGAACTACACTCACCCGGACGATCACACTATACAAACTAAGTATATTATTTTATCAGCTACAAGATGTAAACTGATTATAATGTAAAGGTACAAGATTACACAAGATATACAGTTGAAAGATAATAAAGCAGGTCTAAAAAGTAGTAAATAAACTGTTTTTAAATTTTGTAGTTTTCCTTAATCTGCAGTTAAGAGGGTTGATCCAAGTGGAATCGATTAATGTTGGAGTTGTTCATCAGGAGAAGATAACAGGCATTACTGTTGGACTGCTCTGGGATGCTCCTGTGTTCATCACTCATGTATGTATATTGGAGAGATTAGAATATGTTCATCCCTAGAAGTCCAACCCTTGATGGTGGGTTTTCTTCACTATGGTGTAGAAGATTGAATTTTGTCAGACATCTTTTAGTTTAGGGGCAAGTGTGAAGTTGTTGTGTCTGCATTTGGCAGAGCTGAAAAAGGTCATTAGCCTGGTAGCTTTGCTTTCTCATGATGGAAAGAATGAACACTTCCCCCCTCCCTTTCAAAGAAAGATCTGACAGCCCCAGTTACGAGTGTTGAGGATGACCTACAGAAGTGTTGGAAACAGAATAGAGCTTTTATTACACAAAGGGCTTAACATCTCCCAGCTCAAATGATGACTGTGGTTGTTAGCTTGTTGGAGATTCACTGCCATCATTTTATGTGTTGCCACTTGGTCTGGTTAATGCACCCATTACCTTCCAGAGTACTTATGAGGAAGTTGTCGTGGCAAGCATGTTTTGTGTTCAAATGACCTGATCGCTTAACTGTATGGCAATGACTTCAAGAAGCATATGAAAACAACTATGAGATATCTTCCAATGACTTTGCTAAATACATGTAGGTGTACAATTTTAACTGTCAAACTGTTTCCTATTGTCACCCAAAGCTAATCTCAAACTATATAAAATTTTAGCAGGAAAAACATTTTTATACGAGATAAATGATGACCTCAGGAAATCTTTAAATCTTGGAAAAGTGTTAACTGGCTTTCTGACATCCCAGCCCTGAATAAAATTATTTCCATTTTTTATCATTGTTTTGATATCACTAATTGTGTGCTTGGGTGTTAGAAAATGACTTAGTGAATAGTCATGGTTCTACATGTGATTGTAGGGTGAAGGTGATGCAGCTATTGCTGTGTGGGCCAAGCAAGAGCAGGGGGAAATTACTCTCACCGATGCAATCAGTTCATACATCTCAGGAGGTATGTGATCTGCTGTCTTTGGCTGGAGGTATGGGGGTGTATTTCCTTACAATCTGAAAGCAACCTGTGAGCTATAATGCTAGGGCTCCAAACTGCTATATGCAGTTAAATGCAATTTAACAGAGTCAACAACATAGAGCGCTTGCGTTCCCCTGGTAGTCAGTGGGTGTTGACACATATGGGCATGTGTTGGAATTCCACGTGCTCGTGGATCGTAGTGTGGCGTACGCACAGGAGACATTTTCTGGCAGGTTTTTTTTGTAGTGTGGCAGCTCATCGCCCAGGCAGTTCCCCTCCCAGCCCTTTCTCTCCCTCTTTCCACTGTTTCAACAGTGTGACGGGTGCCTGTCCCTCCTACTGCGTGGGGGCTCATGGCTGGGTTGCCAGGATTTGCCAGCCAAGGGTGCAGTCTTCATCTAGAAGCTGGCTGCCAATAGTGGAAGCTCCTGGATGTCTCAGGCACCCAATCTCCAGTTTAGCGATGCAGTTGTTAAGTTCCCTCAAATTGTAAGAGAAAACTTAACAGTGTTGGCTCAGATGTATTAAAATATATCAGTAAGGTGACCTCTTTGTGTCCAAGGAAAAGGTTGAGCTCTCATTTCATCTCTTGGGCACTTTAAAGTCTTATTTTTGTGCTACGTGTAATTAACCAATGCTCAAAATGCCAAAGGAAGACAGCAGAAAGATACTGTTGCCCACCGTACAATTATGCAGTTGGCTTTCCTGCCCACTAGTTGCTATCCCTTCATCATGCCCAGCTTGCTAAATGTATAAGAGCCAATATTTTTGGTCCTAACTACAACCCGTCATCTCCTAAGTCTTGCTATGAAAGTACAAAATGTTAACATTCCCATGCAGTAAGGTGAAAGGAATACCCATTTAAGATAGTATGAAGGTGGTTGAGAGTTGAGAAGAATTTCAGATAAACAAGGCTTAGGGGAGAATTTCACGTAACCAACATAATTATGGATAATGCCTATTTGTGTGTGTTTCAGATATTTCCATTTTTCTGATTCATAGGGTCTGGTGTTGTTAAAGCAGAGATGTCAAGTCATGGTCACTTTCTTGTTATTCTGGATGACAAGGTAGGGTGCCTGTTATACCCTGTAATCAGTGTAATGTATGATTTAAGGAAAGCTGTTATGTTAAATGCAAGGGGCATATGGTTTGTATTGTTTCTGACATAGTGTGACAACAACTGAGCAGAGTCTATTACAGGGAACAATCATCTCTGTACAGTATATAAGGTAAAATTACCTTAAGGAAATTTATGGTGTTACTTTTGCTAACAAGCTGCTAGAATTTGTCATGTTTCTGTCAAAACAGCTGAGTTGTGTTTTTTCAAGTCATCAAAAAACTTTGGAAGTGTCTGAAAAAGAACATTTGATTTAGAACACCATGCTGCTTAAAAACTTGCATAATGATAAAAAATTATGNAAACAGATATAAATATACCGCCTCTTGTGCCTGATGGGGACAAAAGCTTTGGTGGCTCTTTTGTTTTGGATTTTAGAAAGTGATGACGTCACGTGAAAACGATCTATAATTCACGGGTGTTTTCTTGTTTCTAGAACTGATGAAGAATACAAGTTAGTTGTTCTCACAAGAGCAAACAATCAGGTATGGTTAAGCTATTCTAAGTACAGAGTTAGATGCACTGTAAGTGTTTTGCCAATTTTTGAGAAAAGGCTCCATCTAACCAAAAATTTTCAGATGTAAATCCTTGAAAACAGTGGCAAAGAGAGTTGAGTACTTTTGTTGAAAAACACGTCAAGTGAAATGATTATTATTCAACACTCGGGAGGTTCCGTATCTCTGCGTGGCCATGTAACATCCTCTGTTTAGTCTTGTTATCTGTCTGCTTGATGAGGTGTTGATAATCTATGGACATAAAGGTTTTGTTGTAATGGGTGGTAGCTGTTTTATTCATAGGCATCACACATTGATACGGTCTTAACCAAAATAAATTAATTATGTTAATCCCCTAAGTTTGTCAATTTGCAGGTGCGGTATCTTCAGGTTTACACGTTTCCAACAATGAAGCAGATGTATTCTCTTCAGATTTCTGTTTACTCCATCTTGGCTGAGTGCCCATCAAATCAGGTTTGTAATAGCTCTTCATTGGGTTTTGAGTACAGGCCCCAGTTGTGTAGCCTATGTTGCATACAAAATTTCCCTGTATTGTAAATTACCGGTTAGAAACAGGTGGTATGTACCATCTGTGATGCAGGCTACAGTTATATTTGTTCAAAGATTAGATGATACTATCCACCAGATAAATCACTAACTAGTGGATAGCGTCATTCTTTTTGCCAGCATGTATCAACTGGATAGTGATTTATTCTGTGAATAGTATTATCTAGTACCCTTTGAACAACTTGCCATGTAGTAGTTGTTCTGGGTGTTGGGTAAGAAGTTCAAGACCACACCTTTGAAGATATGTGGGTGGTTAGTGCTTTTAGTCAACGTCATTGTTAAAACATATTACATTGGAACTCCTATATAGTACATTGGATAAAACTGTTCTCTATCTCTAATCATGTGGTGTTTTGAGAATAAATAATGATGAATTTACTCTGGATGATTATTTCAACCTTGGGAATCATTGTGTGGTCCATAACTGTCTCTGTGTTACATTTATGGCTTCACACTAGGTGCATGTTGATGTCCGTTCACTGTTTGATTGGCTTCTTTCGAATGGCTTGTTTACGGCTGACCTTAATAAAGCTGTTTTTTTTTTTTTTGACAGGAGTCAATCTACTTCATTGAGGGTGTTGATGGCAACCTAAATGACAGGTAAGCTTTTTCTAAAGCTGCTGTAACATTATTCGTACTGATATTATGTCAAACTGACATTTTGAAGGAATTCTCAAGTGTGGTTTTGAACTTTTGAAGTTTGTAAGTTTGCTCCATTAAGTATACAAGGTGACAAACGAAACAAAGTCAAGAGACTAAGGTTTCCTTGTCTATGCCAAGTGGAAGGGAAAGCATGATGTACAGTTCTGGTGCCACTCTTCACCCCTGTAGCAGTACTCCCAAGTTTCCTCTGCCAACAATTCATTGTTTCACAGTCCTACCCATCACCTGAGTGGAGTGAGACTTTGAGAGTAAAGAGGACACCAAAAGGACTTTGGGCAGACTCAGACCTGACCCCTACCCCCTGGATAGGATTGATGGGAGAGATAATAAAGATCCAATAAGCTGTTACACATCCCTTTCCCCCCTTAACAGACAGCTCTCCATAATTGATAACTAAAGAGCTTGTCAGCCTTCCTTCAGTCACTGGACTTTAACCAAACTATATTATCTTTCTTTAAGACAAATGCTTCTCTTATTTGAACAACAGACACTTTGAATCAGCCAAGGTAGAATTGCTTGAACTGGCTATGTGAGAAAATGCTGCAAAAAGGGAGCAATTTTGTATTACTCTTGGCAAATACTCATGTGCAATGTATGTTTGTTTTAAACTTTGCAACATTATTTTGTCATTTGGGTGCAGTGGAACCTAAACACTTTTCCATCTAATAGCTAATGTGGAAATAATGTGAGCAAGGTAACCAAACACTGGGGATTTGTTGAAAATGATGGCCACCACATGATCAGCCAATGCCTCAAAATTATTAGAGTCAGCTCAAACCAGAAAGTCAGACAATAGCACCAATTATTGTATGGCTAGCTCCCTGAGCAGGCAAGATGAACCATATCCTGTGCTGTGATTCGCTATCCTAGCAAACACGATAGCACTATCTTGCCTGCTTGGGACTACCAGCTGTGTCCTGCACAAAACAATTTTCCCAAAGGCCATGAAATGAATTCTTTATAATGCCAAGCTTGTTTGGTCAAGTTGGCTCCAGGGATATTGGCCTTGTTCTCAGCTTTGTGAGTTTATATAAAACATTTAACAGAGTTCCCACCAGTTTTGATATTTAAGGGTCCTTGGGACCCCCAGTTCCAAAGAGGTGGGGCTCTTTTTGCTTTTCAGGGGTCCTTTGCATATTTACAGAAGCATATCACCTAGGTGATGTGCTTCTGCTATTTACTAATTAATTTTTGGAACTTTTTTCCTGCATCCCAAGGATGCACTNAGACAAACGATAATACACTTTATTATTGCATCTACCACGATGAATAACAACAACCTTTTCCTCGACAAAGGTAACAGTGTTTCTGTTTTCCCAGTGAACAAAACAGTCAAGCAACACTGCTATTAGAAAGAAGTATTAGTACTTGACAGAACAATCTTTTGTTTATGACAGAGATGAAGTGTTTATGGTAACTTAATACTATGTCTAATTATATTGTTCGAGGTTGTTTGCAAGTATAATTTTAAACATATTTTTCTTACAATTATATGTCCACATGTGATCCTGGTTGCATGGTGAACAAAACAATAACGATTACCTTGGCCACCAGTTCCCAAATTGCATTCTGTATTGTTAACCAACATTCCATCCCTGGAATATGCTCTGGGATTGGTTGCTAACAGACATGACCCATCAACCTGACAACCACAGCTCATTTAACCATCTTGTGCTTATCTTAGGATGATGAATACATCTCCAGATGCTGCCTCCAAGCTGCACTCCCTTCTCTGGAAGAAACATTTGATCTTCTAAGCTATGCTAGAAAAAGAGTAAGTCAGTTCAAACCACCTGTGAGCACTTCAAAGATAATCAGTTCATTTGTATTATTGTTTGGCGTGAGAAACACCAACTGAAGGTTTCATGACTGACAAAAATGAGTGTGTAGACAAAATTAAAACCCAACTTTAGGTGGACTAGAACACACTGCCATCAGCTTGGCATCAGCTTGTTTATTGTTAATTTGCAGTTAGAGTTCATTATCACCTGATCAACCTTTTTTTACCCAATACAGAACACTAAGTAGATAATGTACTTTTGAAATCACTGTCAGTTGTATCCGTAAAAGAGGAGTCTTCCTTCCGGAGCAGAGCATGTAGATGCAGTGTTTGACTATTACACACTATCTTAGGGAGATGTTAGTCCATGGCCATTTTTAAATGCAAACCAATGTACCCAATAATATGTGGGTGTTTTTTTTTTTTATGAATTTGGGTTAAGAGAGGCATTCAAAGTTCAAAAGTAACATATCATGCTTACAAAACCAACATTGGAGCAATGATAAGGCTCAACTTTTTACCTCTCAGCTTAACCTTTATGCACTAGCCATCAGCTACCTGTACATGTAGGCTACAGTACCTTCTACTGACAGTGTTTAGGGCAGAAGTTTTGCTTTTGGTACCTGGAAATGTTTAAAAGGCTCTGTATCACTCCATTACTGGTAACTGTGTATTTTTGTTATTCCTGCTACTGATTCTAAAGATCGTTTCTCCTATTGATTACTCCTCTAACTGCTTTCAAACTCTTGGAAATAGTTCTGTTTGATTGAAACAGGAACTTGTCTGCCTAGATTTGCTACTCAAATGCCTTGGAGTTTGACATGGCTGTGGTCCTGGCCAAATTATGTGAATTATTATTAAGTATTAAATGTGCAGGGGTTTCATTATAAGCTGGCAACCGGCGAAAATCGCCACCTACTTTTTATCAGAATTTACGTCTTACCGCCGCCTACTTTGTCTGTATTTTCACTCAAATTATTAAAAAAATTTATCAGTTTGCCACCTACTTTAGTTAGCTCAGACGGCTATTTCAAAACTTATTGAAAACCCTGAATGTGTCCAATAGTGCTATTAATCAATGCTTTTATGTTGCTTAATATGTTCCTTTCTCAGATCTCCACTAATACTGGTGTACAGGTGCAAAAGGAGGGTCCGTGTGGAACACCATCACAATTGTTGACCGAGGTGAAGTTCACACTAAAGCCCCAGGCAAAATAATGTCCCCAATATCCAGAGCCAACATTTTTTGGCTTTGTTTTGAAATGCTGTGTTCAAACTAGCTCAACATGCTGCAACATGTCAAGCTTGTCCACACAGTTGGATCACAGTTTGATGTGAATTATTCTTCCTTGTATCTTAGTATATTGCGTCACAATTTCTCAACAAGGTGGTCTGGTAGTCTACTTTAATGGTTTTGGATGATGTTTGATCAAAATTTTGGGACCATTGCTGGCATTTTACCATTGCTCAATAATATTTTGTTAAAGTGAACTAAACTTTTTTTTCACTTGTGACAGACAGAATAGGCGGGCAGAAAAACAAGCGGATAGACAAAGAGACAGACTGTCTAATGGGTACTTTTTCTATTACAACTATTCAGTTTTGAGTGATAGACTGATTAGTGATTGGTTTATTTTGAAAGGTGCTGGAAGCACTGGATAGACTAGCAACATTTGAAATGGCATTTGGAATTGAACGATTTAGGTGTGTCTTTTCTTTGTTTGTTTTGTTTTATTTGAAATATCTGAGAGATTGGATGCCCTCTGTACTTTTATTTTTTGAAAGGCATAATTTGCTGCTGCTTTGTTACGTGCATTCTGCTCCTGCCCAGACTCGATTATTGTATTGTCCTCATTAACTTGCAGTGGCACTCAGTGGCAGTACTTTGTTTCTGCTGATCTCCTTGTTGAGCTGGCAAAATGTCTGCTATCTAGTAACGTCACAAGTGCTGTGATCATTTGGAGAAGACATCAGGTACAATCTACCCTTACACCAAAATGTCCAGTTGAATCTAAGTCCTGGCAGGAATATGGTATCAATCTTGTAAAGACCTGCCCAACCTATATTCCTGTATGGATTGTCATGCAAAACGGATTTTTACTAGGGAACTGAAACTTGCCGACAGTGAAATGTCATGCACAGGGCCGTAATTAAAGGATATATGTGTTTTTTTTTTTTTAAGTGGATCGCTGACCAAGTGCTGGTTTTCGATTGCATTGTGAGCTCATGTTAAGTTAACTTGTTGTAAACAGGGCTGGGTTAACGCTAATGCAAGATTAAAAGTTAACCAAAGTATACATTTTTCTTGTATAATAATGTTTTTCACTGATTTTTGTTTTGTGTATTTTGAGATTATTCAAACTCATAACAGAGGTTACCAAAGTTACCAAACTCAAATCAAAATTCTTGCTTATCCTGGGTTAGCCTAATAATATTGGGCTTTGAACAACCTGGCCCAGGAGCCCTGCTATTAAATCTATATATTATTTGTTAAATCGTTTTGGTTTACTTGTGTTCACTAGTCATTCTTCTTTTGGAATCACCTAATTTCTTGAACACACAAGCTTTGATACAATTCAGTCAGTGACACAAGCTTTCAGAGTTTCCCAAAAGCTGCAGAACCCTACAATTAAATATAGTTATTATTCACATGTTTCTAAGTGACTTCCAAAAGTTTGAAATTTATCTCATTGTTTTTGTATATACATTTGTGTTGGCAGAGTCAATTTATAGACCAGTTCAGCATAGAAAAGCTGGAGTCCCTACTTGGCTCAATTTCTCCAGGTTTACCTTCACACACCATTATTCCTTGGTTACAAGATGACCTTGTGCCATTCGTCAGTAAGGTTCAGCCACAAGGTTTGGTGAGTTAAACTAATGAAATTGATGTGTTAGTGGAGTATGGGTACCTGTACTTATAATAGAGTGCTGTCATTGCATATAATCCTGTGCAGTGAGAAAGATGCTCTTGCTGTGCCTTTCCATAACACACAAACTCTACTCAGACAACAGCTTCTTGTGATGCTGCCATCAATCATCTTAGCAGACCTCTCGAGAAATCAAAGTGCACTTCAATGGGTTTAAAAGGTCACGTCTGTGGGTTGGGATTGGCAGATTTTGAGCTATTTTTTTTTTCAAGGTTCGTTGGTTGGTTTTCCTAAAATAATATGATTGCTAGCAGCCCAAAACGTAACCATTACAGTAGGTAGGTTTTAAATTTCAGAGATTGCGTGGTATTGAAAGGCACAGTAATGTAGATTGCACTTGAAGAAGGGACATTCCAAGGGTCCAAGCCTGGCCTTGTTTTTATCAAAAGTTTAGAATAGGGCATAATGGCCAATTCTGTGAAGCTGGTGAGAATAATGTCTAAACATGTAGTTCTAAGAGCCTCTTTTTTTCCGTGGCATTGACTTTTGAGCCTTTTGGCATACCCATAAACTTTGCCTGAGTTACACATGGTTGTGGTGGTTTCTTGATGGTTCATGGTTTTGATGTTATAATAAATGTGTGATCTTTCCCCTGGGTCTTTTGATTTCTTTTAACCCATTGACATCTGTGCCGGCTGTAATCAGCCATGACAAGTATTGGCCTTTGTTCCACTTCTGATGTCATTGCCTTTGAGCTAAAGTTGGCATCAGTTATGCTCAGGTTCTGCAGGGGGAAAGCATCTTGCCAATGATACCTAGATCAGAGTGATTGGGTCAAATAAGCTTGAAATATGCACCAAAATGCTTGGAAATTTGAGTGAAAAACTCAGAGCAAAATTTCCCTCAACTACACTGGGCTACTCCATTGTATGAAGTGCCCATCTCAATGATGCTTTCTCGGGAATTATTGGACTGGAAGCAAGCCCAGTAGAAGGTCAATCACTGCAGCAAAAAGATTAGAAAAGGAGAAAAAGGAAAGGTGAAAAAAAAAACCCTAAAGACCTAGGTCACTTTCTGGTCCATCTCAAAATTTTGATTTCTGTGCATGCCCGAGCAAAAATGCATAAAACGTGATGCTAGTGGAAAGAAAAGCATGCTGTCTTGTTGCATAAGTTCTTTTGAGCAGAATGCAGCTAATTTGGCTTATAACCAGGCTGAAAATCTCCCAAATGTCCAAAAAATGCATTTATGGCAAAAAGCCCAGGGTGTCAATAGGTTAGTGCAAGAATTCTTGTAATGACTTAGGTTTGTACTTACATGTACAGTAAAGGTAGAGAGACTTTAAAACTCTGTTAAAGGATGATGGATCATTGAATGTTACAACATGTACACTATTTACGGTATTAATTAATTTCTTGTTTGCTGTGTCACCTATATTGTAAATTGTGTTTTTGTGTAATCAGAGGATGTTGGCCAGTTGGCTTGAACAAAGAGCAAGACATATGGAGCTTTCTGAGAAGGTGAAGAATCACGTGAAGCTATAAGGGCGGGAAAGGATTCAGACACACATAATTTTCCATCAAAGTGAAAAGAAACAAAATCTATGTAAAGAGGGCATAGGTGGATTTCAACCCAGGTCACTTGAGCTGAGAATCGGGTCTTAGGGAATGAAATGTTTGAGAATATATTGTGTTACCTTTGCAATTATTTAGAGACTTTACCAGTAACTCTCTCAAGGCAGTGCTATCTAGGCTAACTGGAGTACTATTAATATGCTAACCCCAAGTCATTGTCAGAGCATTTGGAGCCTGGAGCTATTGATTACTGGTTTTAGTCCTGAGAGTCAGCACGACACACCTTTTTGACATTACTAGGCTCACTTTTTTGTGTACAACTAGTCATTCTCGCCTGTTTTTGTATCTCGACACTATAAAACCACTTCAACAATTTTGTTTCAGGAGGGCTGGCCACAGAATGCTCTGCAACTTGCCAGTGTCCTACTGTCAGCATCAAAGACCGTGTCAGGAAGTGCTTCTGGAAGAGGGCTTGCAACACCAGCACAGTTTGCTGACCAGGTACTTAACCTTGCGTTTACGATTTTTACATTTGTGATGCTAGGTTTGCCATATTTTTTAACTGTCAGTAATGTGAAACCCATTTAGTATTTTGCTGGATGACAGTTCAACAAATTTTAAAAGTTTGTCCATAAAAATTTGCTTGATATTACGACACAATATTTTACAGGGCTAAAAATGTTTTAAAAATGGTTAAAAAAGTAAAAAAAATCATGACAAATGTTTTTGACAAAATGTCATTTCTGAAGGTGACTGTGTGTTGAAAAGGTTTGACTTGGTACGTTTTTAGCAATTTTTTAAAAGCATTTAATTGATATACACAATTTCATGGGCACTCAGATGGCTTAGTTAACACCATGGGTACTATAAATCTCGTCAAAATTACAAAATTTTCTTCTCAGTACAAACTGGTTTAACATGTCTAAATACATGTAAGTCATCAATGTTCTTGTCATGGCTGCTTTGTGTTTTAGGCCTGTGGTCTTCCTGCAACAGCCAGAACCCTTTTAAACCATGGGAGAAGCAACTTGGTATGGTTCTTAATCATTTAGTAGCTTGTCCACTTTTGTGTTGGTATCAGTTGGCTTGTAGTAAAAACTGGAATTAAAGTTCTGTGTGGCTGTGTGGCACTTGGTATGATAAATATTAGTATAAAATTAAGTGATATTTGTTTTTCTAATCTATGAAGCACCACCGCTCAAATCTTAGTTCAAATTCAATTCTTTCAATTTTCATGGCAATCAAATGTATAAGTGTCATCAAAAAATTAATATGCTGTTATACCTCCCAACTCAAAAATGTTTTCTGATTGGAGGAGAAGGTGTCATGGGTCAAAACTCACCAACTCCCTAAGGAACTTTTGACTCGCATGTGATTTGGTCATGCACCTTAAAACCAGAGTAAGTTTGTGTGCCAGCTGGGGTCAAGCAAATCACGTTTTTGCATTTTTTTTTTGTCTATTTTTGAGTTGGGAGGTATAACAAAGCACTTAATGACTGGCTCCACAGGAAGCATTGAGTTTTGTTTCCCCTCAACCCTCAATGTTCCCCTTTGCTTTGCATGGGGAATGTTCAGGGTCTCAGGGAAACAAAAGTCATTGTTTCCCTTGGGGCCAGACATTAAGTGCTCATTCTTCCTTGAAAATACTTCCAGACAAATGGCGACTATCTCGGACAAAACAACTTGTATCTGTATTTGAAATGTAATAACTATCTTGGAGTTATGAATCCATCCCCATATTCCATCCCTCCCCTCCTACACTTCTGCTTGCCTTATATGCAGTTAATGCAATTTAACAGAGTTAACAACAAGCAACACATTTCTTGCCTTTGCGGTCAGCGGTGTTTAGAACTGTGCATGCGCTAGGATTCCATGTGTTCTTGGGCCAAAAGGCATTAAAGTAATTTTACATTGTCAGTGCTTTCCTCGAGCATCTGAGTCTCAAGTGCAGCGACTCTGCTCTGAGTTTGTTTCCCCTCCTCTCTCCCTTCCTTCTCTTTCCACTGTTTTATCAATGTGACAGGTGCCTGCTTTCTTCCTTCTGCATGGGGGCTCATGGCTGGGTTGCCAGGATTTGCCAGCCATGGGAACAGTCTCCATCTAGGAGCTGGCTGCCAATAGTAGAAGCTCCTGGATGCCTCGGGCAACCAACCTCCACTTTGCAAGGCAGTTGTTAATCTATTGTAGGCACGGGGATGAAACTTGGACAGTTATTTTCTAACTTTGAATTATTGCCAATCATATATCATCAATGTATGTCAGTTTTGTTTTGTTGACATTGGACTTGCACCTCTCTCTTGATTTGTAGAATGTTAACGATGAATTGTGCAGCTTGATGAAAATGGTGCAGCAGCTGACTGACCTCGTTGACCTGCACAACAAATACTGCTGTAAAATAACTCTTGCTGAATTTTCTCAGGTGCTGTTTTAATGATTTCTACTTTCATTAGTTGTTGTTACAAGCCTCTTACATGTACTTAAATGCACCACTTAACACTGAAGCTACAGTGACTGTTTTTTACAAGTGTTTCCACCTGCACTCCATTTAATGAAAGGATTCATGCTATGCAGCTGTAGCATGCATCATCGAGTTATGATGTATTCTGGAAGTTTGGAGAGCAGAAAAGAATCATAAGAGGTGCTTGATTTGCAGCTGTGAGCAACTCTGGCTTCTTGAGTGCAGGGTGGCTTTACTACATGTAGTTATAATTTCTTTGCCTGTCATCACTGCATTTAATTTCCACTCAGGAAACCACTGCTACCATTGTTTTTCGCCTGCTGGACCGCGTGGTGGCTGCTGAACGCATACCAAATGCCATTGCCAAGTACATAGCTCCTTATATGGTTCATCACAGTCTTGATAGAGACACCATGCTTTTGCGGTACATAGAGGTAATGGAAATGGAATAGAAATTAAATTACAATATCTACAGAGGAAGCCACATCAGCCTTAGCTGGTTGTCATTTGGGTCATATATCCTGGTCAATTATGTTCTTGCTAATGAGTATTGCAACTTCAGAGGTCAGTATAGAAAAAACAAGTTATTTTGATCACAGTAATTTGTCAAATATGTGGCAGGCTTGCAAAGGGTAGCCACCTACGAGGATCGTAGCTGTTGATTGAGCATAATTCAGCGCTGTTGAAAGTTGCTGAGAAATCCACACTGGTCAAGGATTGTTTGGTTCCTTTGATGCACCATGACTTGAGAGACCTTGGATTGATCTGTTGAGTAAAGAAATGCAAAATCCGTTTTTAAATCCAATCTTGGATTTTCCCAAAGAAACTCACCCATAGATTTAAGTCATTTGAGTGATAGACCTCAATCTCAGATTAAGAACCTTTTTTACAGTTATTTTAGATTTTCAAAAATCCTGTATATTGCTAATTTGGATTTCGTGATTTTACACGGTTGCCAGCATCTCTTTGTTGCGTGAAGAGTGACAGGGTCAAGAGTGTGTTTAATTGTTTAACTCGCTCTTTGTTCAATGTTTCCAAGGACTTGTTTGACAAGAGTTCTGGGTCCTACTCATCATTGTCTAACTCCTTATGGGAGGCCAGAGTGATTGCAGTCATTTCTTGCATCAAAGAAAAAGAGGTTAGATTAAACATTTTACATAAAGTGACTTGTTTGATTTCATCCTGCATTTGATTGCATGTGCATCCATACTTTCCCCAGACATTTACACTTTAGAATGTACTGAGTACGCTGAAGGTAAGAAATTGCAAACTGCTATCTAATGTACTGTCTGTATGATTGTCAATTTGCGAGAAGATAAGAGAAATAGTCATGAAAGACGGTAGATGTATAACTTTTTAAACCTCATAGTTACCTTTTAACTTTGGGACTATTACATTCGAGGACATGCCTTATTCAGTAAATATTTAAGTTCAAGCTAGACTGCTCGTTAGGAGTCTACATGAGAGTGGGACATAAAGGCAAGGGGGCTTAATATACCAGGAGATCGATATAAAGGTTTGTGTACAGAAAGTCAAGACAAATTTGCATTGGGTTTACGCCTTATTGAACCTTATCTCCTTTCATTTGTAGTTGAAGCCATCAATTCTCTTTTTTCTCTAGATACGTTGCAAAGCTACTTTGGAGGTAATGCGGCATGCGATGATTCCTTGGAGTGAGAGTGTTGAAAAACTGGTTACTGAGTTCATGGCAGCCTATCCAAAGTAAGTGACTCTAAAGGATGTTATTTAGCAACGATTATTACACATTGATTATGTTAAATATTCGATTTCTGCTTGCTATAAAAAAGCTCTTAAAATTAATATGATTAAAGTTTTTACAGTTCAATTTTCCAAGAAGGCGAATTTTATATTTGCACGTGTTCTCGCTTTTAGTGCAGAGTGCACTATTGGGATGGTTATGGGAGCTGCCTGCCGCTGAGGCACTATTGCATTAAGGCACTATTACGTTAAGGCACTATGGCGCTATGGCACTATGGCCCTATGGCGCTAAGGTGTAAACTTTAATGTTTGTTTAATTAATTAATTTCAATTAATTAATTAGTCTAGAGGCA